GTGAAACAAACCCTGTCTGAGGTTTTCACAATTTTAGACTGTGGCAGTTGTGGAACAAGTACTCGCTCTGTTTAAATACCACTGTGAAAAATACTCTGTTACAAGTGAAAGTTCTGCATCAAGTCAAATATTAGTGTCAAAATATACATGAGGTAACAAAAGTGCTCATTGTGCAGAATGTAGTGGAGTAAAAAGTTGAATATTTGCTTCTAAAATGTAGTGAAGTCAAAGTATGAAGCAGGAGATAACAAATACTTAAAGTACAGATACCTCAAAATTGTACTTAAGTACAATACTTGAGTAAATGTACTTTCCACCTCTGGACTACAAGTCAGAATCCACCTTAAGTAAAAGTAGGTTTTATTAGCAACATGTGAAAGTATCTGCAGAAACGTGTCCCTTGTATCATTAGTTTGTCGACTCTGATGCGTCGGTGTGTGCGTGCAGCATTTTGATGTTGGAGGTGAAGCTGCTTTTAACTATTTTCCACACAGTCAGCTGGTTTCAGTCCAGTGGTACCAGGCTTTGTTTAAAGCAGTTAACTTTAAGGGTTTGTCGCATTCACAACAGTCCTTTATAAAACATACACTACCTCTGGTACATGTGAAAAATACTCTGTGTAAAAACGGATAAGATGCAGAAGTTGGTTGACCTCAGGTCACCTGGAGTGTCAGCATTCAGCGGTTGTGGCTGCATGAACGTTAGCTCTGGATCATTACAGCAGGAGATGGTCAGACTGGGAGGACGCAGCAGCTGCAGCAGCTGCTCTGGATCTGAATGAGAGATGAGGCGAGATATTTCAGGCTCAGGTGTGTGTGTGTGTTTACTTGATGTACATTTTATGTGGCTCAGCTCTTTCAAAGTGGGTCCTGCCTGCTTAGTTCAGTAGTGTGTTGCTGTGCGAGTTGTAAGTTTCAGATCTGTCGGTCATCATACCCGCCACCAAAGAGTTTGACCCAAAAACTGCACACATGACAAACAGTTGTATTGTTTTAATGGTGTGTTTAGAGCAGGGCTGGACCCCGGTGACACTGTTTCAGCTAAGGGCTCATAAAAATCAACCTTTCTGCCCTGACGTGAAGAGCTGCATCAGAATTAAGAGTGCACAGCTTCTCCTTCCTTTAGTTTTGAGCTGCGTTTGCAAGCCCGTGCTGCAGAAGGTGTGTAGCAATATTCTGGCCCTGAGAGAAACACACAAGCTCTTCTACATCTTCAAAATTGCATCATCATCATCATGATCGATCAGAAGAGCGGGGCAGTCTTTTCCCCTCGACTCCAAGGCGGGCCACATCAGGACATAAAGAGCAGCGAGAGCCAGTGGGCGTTTGAAAGGAGACACTCATTATAGGATGTTTCCTTGGTGAGAAACACTCACGGTTCCTTTTGCTGGATGTGAAGCATCGATTTTTTTTTTTCTGTTTGGGTCCAGGCAGAAAAGCATTAGTGGCCAGCGGATGATGTCGGGTCATGTGAGATGGAGAGTGTGATTGTGAGGGAGAGATTGTGTGTCAGAGCGTGGCCATGTTTCTGTGTGTGTCTGCACCTGTTTAAGTGTACGCACGTGTGTGTGTGTGTGTGTGTGTGTGTGTGTGTGTGTACACAGGGCTTTCTATGCTTGTGTGGACAAATTAGAATTTGAAAGCGTCGCTGTGAGGACGTGTTCAAAGGGCTGTTTGAGGGTGCAGACCTGGTTTTAGGGTTCAGGTCAGATTTGGGTTTGGTGAAGGGTGGGGGTGGACATTTAGTTGTTATGGGTTGGGGGGCAATGGGACGCGCTGTCAGTGAGCGTCCTCACAAAGATAGCTGTACAGGCGTGTGCGTTGTATTCAGTAGGGACTGTGCTCGGCTTGTCCTAGATTCACTGGAGCCAAATGATAATGAGCTGAGATTGATGCTCGCTGCCTTCTCCTCCTCTTCCTCCTCTCCTCTCTTGCCCTGCCCTTTGCTTCCTTTTCCTCCTCCACTTACCTTGCTTCACCTCACTTATCTTTGTCCTCTGTCCTTTTCGATCCACGTCTCCTCTGCGCTCCCCTTCTGCTCGTCCATCTGGTTCTTCGTTCTCCTCTCACCCACTGTTTCTTTTCTCATTTCATGCCTTCGTCTCTCGTCCACAGCATTACTAGCTCCTTGAATTATGGACATGGCTTCTGGTTATTCATTTCACTGAACTGGTGAGTGTGAGAGTTAGTGGTCTGCTATTCATGTCTCCCCTCTTCTCACAGGTTTTTGTGCAATAAATGATGTGGGAAACATATTGGGGAGTGAAGCACAACAGACCCAGATGGTTCCCATAGAAAAGCTGAGGAAACCGGGTGTGCGCTGCATCAGTTGGGGAAGGGGGGGAGCCAAGCAGATGTACATTTGACAAACCAGCCAGTTAGTTTTCATTCATGAAGTAAAAGAGTTCACATAAATCCCACCTTTTGTGTCACTTGTTCTACACAACCCTCCTGGACTCAGGAGCAGCAAATCACCGAGTGTCTCACTTGAGCTTAATCATGATGACTGAGCTTTGCAGGTATGTGTATAATGAATTAATGATGGAGGCACTATAAATGGCCACAGCTGCACACAGTGACAGCTGCTCTGGCTATTTGAAGATGCTAATGGTTGATTAAGAGCATGTCTCCATCCATTTCTGGCCAACCGGAGTCGTTGCAATCCTGCATGTGTGTCTGGGATTTATGAAACAACCACGTACGCATCAGCTCTCGTCACCCTGGCCCCAGATCTGGCTCACATATATAGCCAGACACTGGTTGTTGTAGGCTTAGGGTAGCTGTCTCTGGTGATATTAAAATCTAAACTTTGTGTCCTAGGACCGGTGGTTTTGGCGTCTGAGGAACAACAAGGTGCAGGAGGGTTACCCCATGCAGATTGATCAGTTCTGGAAAGGCCTGCCGCCTCGCATCGACGCTGCCTACGAGAGATCTGATGGCAAATTTGTCTTCTTCAAAGGTACGAGGCCAAATGTGAGACATAATAAGATGTGTACAAATGTTTTCCTCTTTCTTCCACCAATCAGCATCGGCGTGTCACAGTTTAGACCCCTGGGTCCAGACATATACACTGTACAGAGGTACCAGTTTATCATTGTTATCATTTTCAGCAGCTTAAACATCACTGACTCGCACGTCCAGTCAGCTCAGTTTCCCTGCTGTTGTTCCGTTTCTCAGTCTCAGACCTGGCTCAGGTGCAGGAGGCATGAATTATGTAAAGCCCCATTAAGAAGCAAGTCATCACCCGTTTGAGCTTTGTTTTGATCGAGTGTCAGGTTGGTGCCACTTTCTGATAAAGCAGGTTAAGTCGAGTTTCATTTCTATAACCCAGTATCACAAATTTACCTCAAGGGTCTTTAGTGTCTGCACAGCGAACGCCACCCTCGGTCCTTAGACCCTCGTAAAGAAAACAGAAAACAATGAATGGGGGGGGAAATGGAAGAAACCTGATGAAGAGCAATAGAGGAGGGATCTGATCCTTCTTCCAGAACAAATCAACAAAATAAATTTACACTGTGGACAATCACAATCACTAAGTTGTATATTGTAACATATATGAAGAGCACGGTGGAAGATATGAGGAACACCAGCACCATCTATACATGAAGGACTACTGATTGTTACTAAATCATTTGCTAATGCTTTAAAAGCTATTAATAAAAACATCTTTTGGTTTCAAGAAGGTCTTTGTCTCTGGAGCTCTTTACTCCTCAGGACCGGCTCCCAGTGGACTGCTCGATCACTGGGCTTCTGGTAAACCAGCTGCAGGACATCTGGACCAAATCTGTTTAATGTTTACATCCGATTACACCTGCAGACTTCTGGTGGTTTAACATTTACTAAGTTAGACATGGAGTTTGACAAGATGTTCTTATAAAACTTCAGTCCAAACGTAGAGAATGTTCTGTTGTTTAACAGCATTAGTGTCTCCTGTTTAAAGCTAATGTTTTAGTGCTAACATGGCTGTTTGTTTCTATTCAGTAATAATCAGTTATAAATGTTAATACGAGTTTAGGGTTGTACACTTTCTCTGAAGTCATCAGGTTTGTGGTTGTAAATGCTAGTTTGACATTAATAAAGGGCCCTGGGCTTCTCAGCTTCTAATTATATATATATTAAAAAAAGCATTCAGAAAAAGAAGGGAGCTGCAAGAAGTGAAACAAAATGAACATGTTCATATGTGGACAATGGTGGAACCTGAAGGTCCCATTGTTGTCTGTTAAACCGGACATACGTCATCTCTGTGTGACACATTAGCACATCATCAGTCTGAACTGAGCTGCTCCTTTTCCTGAGGACTCTCACTGACCCACATGGGAAAGCGTTTTTCTTTCTTGGTTATAAATGTACGCACACCACTTTGCCTGAATTGGAGTTTTTCTCACCTAAACTACTCCTGGAATCAGCCAATTTCACTCCCAGTCTTGAGTAGAACAACTTCACATCTCCGTCTGCCATCTGCTCCAGTGTTATTAGACTCCTTCCTGCTCTCTGCATGCCCTCCTCCTCCTGAAAATATATTTAATAAAGTGTGAAATAGAGAATGGCAAGGCAGTGGGGAGTGCTCAGCCTAAAGTAATAGAGTTTCCATGTATGAAGCCTCCCTCATCCCCTGCCTGCTGACTTTGTAGTCACTCTTCTCTCGCTCCTTCTTTCTGTTTTCATCTCTCTCTCACGCCTTCTCACTTTCTCTGTAACACACACACACACACGCACCGACATCTTCTGACGGAGCGTCCTGCTATCGCTGCCAGCCAGGAGCAGATATTAATAGCTTGGCTCCGTCAGAGCTCTCAGCTGCACACTCCCTCGCTCACACAGACACACACACAGTGACGTGCACGCCGATGCTTCTTACACAGACACAGAGATAAAAGGAAAGTGTGTTGTTTGTCAGCATGTGTGTGTCTTTTGTGTTTGCGGGTATTGGTGTCTCCATAAGCTGACGTGGGGACAAATACTGTGCTTCCAGTGGCTTTTCATCTAAAACATTTCATTGACGGTATGGGAGGTAGCGTGCGCACACACAGATTCAGCGCTACGCATCAACACAGTGTTTAGTGATTAATAAACCTCTACAGAGCGACAACAAGACAACCTGCATTTTTGCCTTTAACTCTGGTTCTTCAGTTCTTCAGTCGCTGATTTCCTCAGAGCGACTCAGTAGAAGTAATGTCCTGATGACTCCTGAAGGCATTTCTAGTGAATGAAGCACCTGCTGAAGGTCAGTTATCTATCAGGATCTGCCCAGTAATATGCAAACTGGAGTCTGGCCACCTTAAATCCCTTTTTAAGGTGATGAGTACAGGCTATTTAAAGGAGTTTCTGCCTGGTCAGGCTACTTTAAATAAAAGAGCTTTTATGGAGTTGTTTCATGGTTTTACCTACTGTATTTCATCTGCTGCCGTTTTCTTCTGAACAAGCCGGATGTTGAACGCAGCTGCAGAGGAGCTGCTGCATTTCATAGTTTCCTCAGTGTAGTAAAAAACAGCTGCTGAGTTTTACTAGTTTAGCAGTGACTGATTTTCTAAAAGCCTGATTGGATTAGAGTAGTTCATGTTTTGACAGTGCAGAGGAAGCCGTATTTCCACCTCTGTTGTCTCATCTCTCTGCCAGCAGGAGATCTCTGAGTCCTGTGAACACAAAAACCCAGCAGACAGTTCAGCTTCGGGCCAAGGAGCAGCTGATTTTAGTGATGATCCAGATCTGGGATGGCAGCCTCTAAATAATCATTTGCAAATGTTTTAACAAAGGAAGTAAATATTTATTTGCTGATTCTCAGGGCGTGTTTGTGGGTAAAGCTTTCAACATATCCGTGGACATAACGATAAGCTTTCTCTTCACATCTTTCAGGTGATAAGTACTGGGTGTTTAAAGAAGTCACGGCCGAGCCAGGATACCCTCACAGCCTGCTGGAGCTGGGCAGCTGCCTCCCCAAAGACGGCATCGACACAGCACTGCGCTGGGAGCCAGTGGGGAAAACGTACTTCTTCAAAGGGGACCAGTACTGGCGTTTCAATGAAGAGAAACGCACCACAGACCCAGGATACCCCAAACCCATCACTGTGTGGAAGGGAATACCGGACTCACCGCAGGGCGCCTTCATCAGCAAAGAGGGATGTGAGTGTCTAATGATCTGGTTTCACCGTCTTTGTCAAGCCAGTGACTGAATCACCTATCACGCACACAGTAGCGTGTTACTTGTGTTCACTCATAGTAACTGTCAGTCTCTGGCCTCCCGTGAATCTGTAGCTCTGGGATGTGTTGTGTTGAGCGTGTGCCTGACATCCTCAGCTCTGAATGGCCAGTTGTTATCTGAAACGTGTTTCTATTACACGGATTCTTCTACAAATCACCAGAGTTAATTTAACCTTTGTTAAAGTGGGATTCGGGCCGTATGAAGTGGTAAGTCTCCAGCAACCTCCGAGGCGTTTTTATTTCCACTCCACCCCTGGCGGTCAGATAACTGGTCTATGGCTGAAGCTACCAGACAGTCAGTCTCACAGACACTGTTGGCAGCTCACTTTATACACATTGAGGCTCTTCTCCCTTTGCCCAGTGTTTATGGTACAGAAGCAGGCACCAGACTCACACATACTCACTGTGCCCTGGTCACCTCAGCTTGTCAAGTTGTGACCTTGTGTCTTCCTCCGAGAGAGTCAGACACCAGGAGCAGAGCTGTGTGTGTGTGTGTCTGTGAGAGAGAGAGAGAGAGAGATCAGAGGCGGTGACACGGTCGATCCAATGTGGTGTTAGGAGAGCAACTGTCCTGCAGAGACTTTGGAGGCAACAGACAATTGTGTTTGTTTGTTTGAGCTTTTTGGAGCTGACAGAGAAACGGGCATCAGACGAATCCTCCTTCAGTTTTTCTGTTGGTGAACTGTGTGTGAGAGAGATCTGATATTTTCTTCTAATATTCAACATGCTGACATTTAGTAGGGTGCAGGAGTCAGAGGTCAGAGAGCAGAAAGTTGTTACTATAACACGTGAAGAAAAATACACATGAATTTTGCCTGATCTTACATGGGCGAACAAAACCTATAGCGGGTCCGGGGGCCTGGCACTAGACTCTTTTTCTCCAAAAACACTTCTACTGAAACTGATTCTTTCCTTGCCATAGTGAACTGGATGGTCACAAACCAGTGTACAACTCAGCCTGTGCCTTGCAGCTGTTCTTTGTAACCGCTGTGCCACGATTGAAATGTCATCGCCGAGATTCAGTGCTGCAGCAACATAACAGCGCTGAGAGACGGAGCTGAGGCCCATGTACAGTATATGGATGCTTTTTCAGTTTAAGAGAAAGCTTTTTTTAACCATCTGCCAGCGCTAGCGCTGTGCATGTGACTGTGTAGTTTGTGTCCTGACAGGAAGCTTTTGAGGAACTTAGTAAACACAGTGGAGTTTCCTGGCGGTAGTCACATGGTCTGCTCTTTTTAAACTGAGCCTGTACTTTTTGGCTCCAAACAAAAATAACAGCAGCACACAGCTGAATTTGTGTTTAAGGTGGTTGTTAAGGTGGTATCCAGTACAGAATAGTTTTAATCCATTTGTAACCTGCATTTTTCAATCCATGCCGGCAGCATGACCAAGCTTAACTACATGCTTGTTGTTGAAATCATGAAAAGTAGGTCTTGAACCTTAAGGAAGTCCTGGTTTTGACCCAAACCACAACCTCTGAAACCTAACCAAATACTTTTTGTGCCTAAAGTTGTTTTTGTGATGAAACCTAACCAAACCATAGCTGCTTTAATATCATGAAGGTGCTTAGATGAAGGTCAGACTACACTCTCCTTTGCTCCTGACAGGTAACAGCTGTAATCGCTATGACCGGCGGGCTCTGTCACAGGGACATAAACATTTCTTTGGACATGTACTGAAACAACAGATGCTATCATTTGTCTTGGAAGGACAGTTGCAATGTGCACGACTTTACGCTCCATTTCTTCCTGTCCTCCCCTTTTTTCTTGTCACTGGTTAGTTGCATATCACCTTCTCTCCCACAGTTTTGAGAGGTGATTCACTGGTGTCCCACAGAAAATTGCCAGGGCTGAACTTTGCTTCTCATCCCTCAGCCTGATGGGGTTTCAATCAATATTCCACTATAAACCAGATACAGTGTCATAAAATGACTTGCATACAAAAACAATTAAATCTTTAAGTAACTGTTCTACAGTGTAATGTACTTTCATAAGCTACTGATTTAAACATTTACTCTGGTCCTTTTGGCTCCCTCACTCACTAATTCCACTTTTCTTTTCACTTTACCTCCCACTCCCTTTCTCTTTCCTTCTTCCATCACCCTCTGTCTCTCTTTCTGCCCCACACCCTCACCCTCCCCTCCCCAGACTACACCTACTTCTACAAGGGCAAGGAGTACTGGAAGTTTGACAACCAGAAGTTGACGGTGGAACCCGAATATCCGAAGTCCATCTTGCATGACTGGATGGGCTGCGATCAGTCTGACATGGAGCGCTCTGGAGGCAATGGTAACCGCGGAGATCGCCAGCTTCCCCTTGACGACGTGGACATCATGGTGACCATCAACGATGTCCCGACAACTGTCAATGCCATCGCCGTGGTGATCCCCTGCATCCTGTCACTGTGCATCCTGGTGCTCGTATACACGATTTTCCAGTTTAAAAACAAAGGAGCGCAGCAGAACACCATGACACAGCACTACCACAAATACCCCGTCCAGGAGTGGGTATGACAGGCACCTGCCTTTAAAATAGTCAGAGTTCATGGATTGAGTGGTCATCATATTGTTAGCTAGCTAATGTTGGCTAATGGCCAAGAACACAAAGCCAGTGCTGAAAGATGCTCATTTGCTAGCTAGTGACGAATGCTACAAGAAGTGCACACACTGAGAATGTTTTGTGGGACTAGATTTAGGCTTCAGCTCAGAGTGCACGAGACTTAAAAGGAAAACAGAAAGGTTACTAACTTTGTCTTTTTTAAGGATGCTTAGAGTTAAAATGGCTGACACTAGTGAGAACAAGTCCACAAACACTCCAGCAGGATCCAATTGGTTAAGGACACATAAACGGCAGATTTTTCAGTCTTGCACACCAGACACGCAAGTTCTTCAGCTGAGTGAAACTGGGTTTTATGAGTGGTACTGGACTTTGACTATTCTTCTCTTCTGGGACCTACAACACACAACTCAGTGAAAAAAGAAAGGGGAGCAGAATATGCCACCTCCGAGTTTGTTCTAACAGCTTGTACTTCTTCAATTATTAAAATCTGATGAAATTTAATGGGAAAAAATGGTTTAAAATATCAAACTTGAAAACTGTAGGTAGTAAGGCCATAACAAAAAGAAAACCAAACATCTCTGTGGATCACTGAATTTAGTTTATTTTCAGTTGTGTGGAGATGTAAAACTGTCAAAAAGGACCTTTTCTCTCTCTTTTCACCACACACAACAAAAGCATCCTAATCACCACTAGCTCAGACCTTTGTCAGCTTAAAGCTCCTTCAGCTAGTCACACAAAAACATCTGATTCACACAGACTGGACTGACTGGTTTAGTAAATATAGAACAGCCAGTCATCAGCGTATGATAGAACAGCCCTGCACACAACCAGGGCTTGTATTTATCAAACTGCTAAAAATGACAGTTTGACTTGAAGTGAAAGATAAAACTGAAAATCACTTTTACTCCTATTTAGGAGCTTAAGAATAAAAGCTATTTACCTGATTTCTTCCATCTTAATCACTTAAGGGAGTTTGGGAGGTGATGAGTTGATTAGGTTTACAAAACAGGGTAGGCAAAGGTGGGGTCACACTTCCTGAGACATTTTAGTGAATGTGCAAAATATAATAACAGGTCATGAAGAAAGTTGCATCAGCTGAAGCCCTGTAATTTAGGAAAAGCACAGTTTTAACCTACTATTAGCTTTATGTTCAGACATAACATGATGATGTTACATCACTTCCTCTACTGGAATTTTTCAGCCACTTTCTTTTTTCTTATTTATTATAAATATGTTAGATTGTTGTTTCGTAAGATGTCAAGGATTTCACACAAACACAATGAACCTACATATGTTTGTATAGAATAATACGTCACTGACTAAACAGTTGTTAAAAGAGCAAACTGGACGACAGATGTAGGGTGAATCCTTGTTGGATTGGCTGATCCTGATCACCTGAGGGCTGCTCTTAAATGTTACTCTTGCACTTTGTTGTAAGTTGCTTCATAAATATCTTAATGTTCCCACGTAGCAAAGAATTATTTTAAATCCTGAAGCAGCTCGTTTGAGCATTTTAATTGTGCTTCTTAGCAGTTTGATAATTATGGTCCCAGAGCTGAACCAATTAGATTGTTCTTCTCACCTTTGTAGGGAAGCTTCTCAAGATGTGAAAGAATTAAAGTGCAAATAGAAAGCAAAGGGGCATAAATTCAGACCAAAGCACGGTCTGCACAGAGAATACACAGTGTGTATTAGTACGCTGGCGACATCGACAGAGCTTAATGAAGTGCTTCTGTTCACAAAGCTCTAATTGGAGCTACTCGCCCTCTACATCCCTCACTTTAATCCCACTGTCCTCCTTCTGTCTTTTCTCACTGTCCTCTTGTAATTCTCCCCGTCCATCTGGCCTCGTCTCTGCGACAGTTCGCTCTCTCTCAGCTTTTCCCCCTTTACCTCCTCCTCTGTCCATCTGTGCTGCTCTCCTCTATACTTGTCTTTCTTTACATCATCTGTATCCAGTATATCTGACACCCCGGGCTCCTTGTCCGCGTTCAGTCAATGTCATGTACAACCATAATCTGGCTGCTTTCATGTTTGATTCATGCTGCTTCTCCTGTCACTGTGGAGCTTGTCATTCATCTCCAGTTTAGTCAGAAGTGCCAAAGTTTCTTATTGTCTTTGGCTCTAAATCATTGACTTGGTTTCCTCAACAAAGACAGATAAGACTTGTGGTATTTATTTATCTATTTATTTATTGAGTAAATAGGAGCATAAGCTGCGTAGCAGCATGTTTGGCTTTAAACAAGTTGTGAAGGAAAGTGAGCTAAGACGTTTGAAGTGCTCAGTCACCTCCAGCCTTTACAGGATGGATCATTTATAGGTTCCTCTATATGCATGTCAGTTGTCAGTGAGAGAAGACTTGTCATTTATATCAGTTTAGTAACTTAAAATACAACAACCTGCAACAGGCGGCGCTCTTTATGTAAACTAGACTAAAGAAGACCAGTTTTGTCTCAGGCATGGTCACGTTTACAGGCTCAGCATAGGCAGAAGTTGGAAAAGGTTCTGGTGCAGTTTGCTGCAGTGGCAGGTTTCTTCTGGACGTGTTCGACAGCTGCCGTCCAGGATGCCAACACGCAGACTTGCTGTTTTCCACTTTGATAATACTTTTCCAGGTGACGTGTACAGGGAGCGATGCACACACAAGAGGAATGCGACACTCAGACCTTCGCTCTTTTCCCAGCAGCACTGCAGTTGCTTTATTTAAATACACAAGCTGCTCATTTGAATGTCATTAACTCTCTAAAGTGAATCGTAATGAATCATTCAGTGGACATTCAACTCCCCAGAGGGTTTTCGGAGTCCCCCATCCATGACCTCCCACCTCAGGCTGGAAATCATCCTCACTGAGTCGCGGTTTATCCCACTGTCTGTGTGAATCTGGGGGTTACAGCTGAGGATTTAATGGGGGGTGGGAAGAGATTATGAACCCTTAAAATGCATCTTAATCGTGTTTTTAAGGGTTTGGAATGATACATATGCAGAAGAATAACGATGCAGACGGGTGCGGTCTTTCCACATCATTTTAAAAACTGCTTGAGACTCCACACATCTGCCAGGGAACATAATGTCTGCCTCCCTCTCCCCTTGTTCTCCCTATACAGCTTTGTACCTCATTCACTAAGCTCTCTGTCCTGCAGTAATTGAATGTGTTCATGCCGCATATCCTTGCAATTACTTGCTGCTGTCGAGAGCCATTCAGCGCACGCAGCATTCGGCACAAATCGATGTGGTTCAATATCCTACAGCGCAATTTGGACTCGGTGGAGAAACGTATTTGTTTTTGGAGGGTGTACAATAAACATGGAACAAGACATTGTGCTTCTTTTCACCTGTAAGTTTGTTCACAGCGTACAGCCTGCGTCTGCCGAGAGGGGCCACTCGGGCTGTTAAAACATGAATGTGGAGCCAAAGAAAATTGGGTATTAGACCAAGCTTGTCTTCACTTTGTGCTTTTCAGTAACAATTTAACAGGAGACATCCAGCATCTGAGTTCGGTAAAGGCTCAGTATCAGTTGACCTGATTAATTGTGTTTCATAAAATAGCCACTGATGAAGCCAGCGTGCGCTCGCATTGTTTTACCTGACCAACAGGTCAAAACCTGACAATCTTCATTTTACTGTCATATCAGACACTAAATGGCAGAAAATCACATTTGAGAAGCTGGAACCAACAGCATTTCAGCTCAAGTGTCGTATTATTATTATTAACATGTACATAATGTGAATATTATCACTGGTGGAAAAGTCCTAACAAAGTTTGAGTCTTCTTCCTGAATTGGTTGGAATCAAGCATCCAGTGGTGTTTACTCTGTTCAGATGACTGAAGTTGTAGCTAATGACCAGATTATTAGAAAGCCTGTGTCTTAATGGACAGAAAAGTGGAATTAGCCTGTAAACCTGACCTTCCCGTGGGCTTATTGATCATGACATCGAGTGCTGTAGCCATTCATTGTTCAGAAATGCCTGAGCTTTTGATACTTGTTGATTGTCTTCCTTAATTTTCTGGGGAAAACACTGCAGGTCAACCTAACTTTTTATGTGATTTATTTCCCAGCTGAAACTTTTCTTGGTGAAACCCGCTTCAGGTTTTCTGCTTTTGTGCAGCTCTTAGACAAAGCAGGCGAGAAGAGGGTAGATGTTTGGTCCTTGAGCTTGTTAAGGCGTCTCCACTTTTGAATAGAGCTCCAGGCTGGTTTCAGGTCGTCATCGGTCGATTGTTTGGTTACACTGTGATTTAACCTGATGTGAACGGAGATTTGTAGCTGTGTATCAGTGTGTTTTCCCTAAGGGGGGAACATTTCATCGAGCTAACAAGGGTTTCCACCCGACTTCAACACCCCTAATTCATCACTCTCATTCTCGTCGTCACTGTTGTTCTCTTTCATAATAAAGTTGGAGCTGTTGCTGACGAGAACTGAGGGTTTATCACTAGCTCGAGTTCAGGCACTGTTGGTCCTAACGGTAGCAGACTCCTCCTCACAAGACACCGAGTCGCTGCACTGATGCAATCGGGGATTAAGTGCCTTGCTCCAGGGCACGTCGGCGGATGCTGATGCTGAGAGTTGGCTCCTCATGCTGATTTTCACAGAGCTTCTCAGGGCGCTGAACCCAGCAGCTGTCTGCTTGTTGCCTGGTTTTGTTTTGAGTGTTTGCTGTGACCGGCCCCATGTTGCTCTGACGGTGAATGACTCCTGTTCTCACATCATCCTCATCAGGTTATAGAGTAAAAGCTCAGCTAGTGGAGGTTTGTTGGATCACTACGAGGGGGTGGTGAACAGGTCAAACCTTTTCCATCATATTTTAGCTAGAACACCATGATCTGCACACTGGACACGTTTAGACCATGTGTCCCGTAGACACACCACCTCCTCTCTTCCTCTGGGACAAACGCCTAAAACTGTGTAAATATTTACTGAGATTTACAGAAGAATAGCAGTTTACAAAAGTACAGTGTATTTCAGCGGATGTCTGTGGCAATGGAAGAAGGATACTCGGAAGAAAACGTACTGTAGTGAATGCATTGTCGCTTATTCAGATTACTTATGAAACACACAAAGACAAACTCTATGTACATGAGATTTTAGAGCGGTGGTAGACGCCCTCTGTCTACTGCTCCTCTGGTTGAAACCTGTTTGTTCTACTTGTCACAGAGGACAAACGTCCTCTGAAATTTTGCCTCTTTTCTGGATATTGTATGCAGACCTGGGACCAACTGGAACGTGCTTTATTTCTTCTGGTAGTTTTGGATTTGTCTGCCTCAGAGTCCACACCTGCCCCAGCCCAGTCCTCGTCTCTTTCAGCGTCCGTCTGTGGCCATTTCTCATTGTTTACTGTGTCCATGGTGGGGCATTACCTTCCATTTAAAACAGGAAGGATGGTTGGCAGATAACTTCTTGAAACCACAGGGGAAAGGACACAACTCTAAGAAACACTGAGAGGTTTCAGATTAGCTTCAGGGTTTCCTGAGGACAGGAGCAGAGCAGCTGATCTCCAGCTCGGTGTCCGTTTGTCCCAGGTCTGCTGGCGCTGGACAACAGTGAGTTGCCTTTAAAGCCAGACTTAGTTATCTGATTGCTCCAAAACAGCGGGGACACTTTCCAGAGGTTGTGCATCTGCATTACAGTCATTACAGTCAAAGCAATACAGTGAAACTAGAGATTTGTCTTAAACAGAGGTAGTGGGCAGCAGAGCTGCTCGGTAGTGCTTCATTTTACAGGCCCTATAGTTGCCTAATAATCTCCTAGAGATGAACTGATATGTAATTTACACTCTGTTAATTCCTGTTTGATTTGTGCAATCAGCAGACGGGCAGCATTATATAATATGAAACACAAGGAAATAAAACAATACAATGAAAACAGAACACGACATCTGAAGTGTATAGAGTAACTACAGGGTGGTGTGGGCACCGTACTGGGGGGGAACAGGAGCCCAACAGCAAATGTTTCATTAACTCAGACTCATAAAGTTTAAAATTATAGATAGAGATAAACCTTGGAATGTCTTTCACTCTGAACAAAGGCTGAGGATTTTCTCCCCTGCTCTTCGTTTCCATGGGAAGACACGGACATTATGAACAGGAGAACAGATAACGGCGACAAAAACCTAGTTTAATATTCACATGGGCACCTGACAGACGTGCAGACATGGCAAACTTCTGTAAGACATTATTGAACTGGAAAAAGGAAAGCGAATGTGGCTATGCTACGATTTTAAGGCTAATTTGGCCTTGTGTTAATTTAGCCTGCATCACAAAACATCCTACAAACTGCCCACAAGTTGCTCAGTCACTGGTTCTTCTGGTCCACCCACTGATATGAAACTCAGATTTATTTCCAGATGACACAGCTTTTAGTGCCTCAGTCCAAATAGAAGTACAACCAGTACAAACCTGCCTCTGGTAGATGTTCCTGCTGGTTCGGAGCATGGCTTCATGTGGCTAGGTCTTCCTTTAACTTGCCTTTAGCTTCTAATGTTCTCTTTTCTTAAACTAATATATGTAGGTGAATGAAAACATATCACAAGTAGTGTGGGCAGACTTACTGCAGTAAACACGTGCTGAAGTTCTTTGGGTAATATCACAACAGCTAGTACTTCTAGGGAGATTTTATCAGCTATAGCTTTAAGAAAGACTCTGTTCAGTTTGTTTTTCTTACAAAGAAAAAGATTTTCTGTAAATACAGATTGAGGTTTTTTTTGGTTTTGGGTTTTTTGACTAAATGGGTTGATTATAAAATCAAAATGAAAAAAATTGGACCTTGGCTCACTCCTTTACCTGCAAAATGATGCAGCGTTTAGTTTGTGGATTTTTTTATGGAGTCACCATGTGGTCAGATACCAGAGGTCATGTAAATAGGAAGGCGACAACAGCTTTGGAAGAGTTTTGTATTTTTCCTTTGCTCTTTCATTTAAGATGAACGTCACCATGTTTTGCACATATACCACTGTCAATGCTTATACCGGATAGGCATGTTTACGTTCATGACTTGTGAAGATTACGCTCTAATTCAAGTTTTATTATAATGAGAAAAAGGTTTTATTATTTAAAATGTTAACATGACTGCAACAGATTCTTTTGTTAGGTTTTACTGTCCCACGCCAATTATATACCAATAACACCATGTTCTGTTAACAATGAAATGTCAATAAAAATGGAGACTTCATTGTCTAAGATGTCGTTTTCATTTCAGCTCCTCTTCATGCACTTACAGTTACACTAAACATCCTGTGTGCGTCTCTCACTGCAACACAACCCGTTCAGATTCAGAATCGGCTTTATTGGCCAGGTGTGTCGGACACATGAGGAACCTGACTCTGGTACATCGGCTCTCAATGTGCATGTACAATATCCCCATGTAAGGGGCAAGTAAACAGTAAACCAAGATGAGGCTGTGTAATGTAACAAAATAGCAGTATTAACAAGCAACAAACGGTGCAAACAATGAATAATAGGTAGTATAAACAGACAAACAATGCAGACAGACAAAGGAATGTTCACTGAAACGAGATAAATAGGAATAAAAACTACTTAGTACTTAAAAACTAGAGACCTGTACGAGTCTGTATGATCTGTACGAGGTATATTTACAGGTATTGTACTGAGGGTTATTGTCCGGTCATACTGTCATTCAGTGTGATTAAGGAGACGTAAAGTAGCCTCCCTTAAAACAAGTAGTGCCTGAGTTCAGCAATTTGCATCAGTGTCTCACACTCCTAAGTTGTGTTAAATATGAACACACACAGGTGATATTCATATTTTAATTTCAGTGTGACTTGCACCTCCTGAAGGTATCATCCACTTTGATTTGATGGTAACTAAACATCCACATATTCACTTAGAAATCATAGAAAAAGTGGTTCATACAGAGCCTGTCTGAGAATCCTCATGTTTTTAGGTTTTCTTCAGTGTCAGTGATCCAGTAACTGTTGTCTGGACGCCCATGGTCGCACTGCAAACACGAGCCGCAAACCGCAAATTCATCTGCTTTTAATGGTGCAAATGAGCCTAAATATAAACAGAGCAGGGCTTCAGTTGTAGCCCACAGCAAACTCATTCATTCAGAGGACATGTTAGGGATTCTTGTCTACATCACAACAGAGTCCTCAGATTATTGAAACTATACTTCCTGAAGTTAGACATGTAATTATTACCCCAAGTGAAGTAAAACAGAGTCTGTTAGTGTGAACATTCTCATGTGCACCATCAGTCGTCTCAGTTTTGGAATTTAAAAGTTCCTGAATTAAATAATTTCTTTCCGTCTTTTACCGACAAATAGCTGCAGTACTCTGGAGGATGACCAGAGCCATCATAAAATAACCTTAAACCTGCTTTTAGTAAGAACTTTGGTATAAGACTGTTTTTACCTCCATTTTCAGTCTAAACATTCATACACATTATTTCTTTTACCAAATGATCGTTCTGAATGTTTCAACAACCCAACTCTTACCTGTCCTCACCTTCCTATGGACCTATATTTATTTATTTTGTTGTCATGTGACATGTTATTCCGTTTTGCCACTCAGACCTTATATGTGAAGGTTTTTCATCGAGCTTCTTGTTGTTGTTGTTGTTCTCTGTTATTTTATTTTTCCTGGTTGTGTGAGGCAGCAGGAAACCTGAATGCTGTCTCTAAATTGAGTCCGACCCACACGGCTGCCAGTGTTTTTCACTCTTTGGCTTCTCAGAGAGAAATAAGGAAAAGTCACTGTCACACGTGCATTTTGATGTCGTCATAGCTTTTACCATGACTCTAAATGGATTTCTGCAGGTCTATTAGTAGTTTTGAGGCATCTGTGAGATCATGTGCTGTATGAAGCCACCAGATGTGCATAATAAATCTGCCTTGTGGTATTTTGCTGAAATACTCCTCTAGGGATGTACATGCACGTCCTCTGGTGAAAAGCAATATGTTGAGCCACCTGCCCAGTATGGGCACTGGACACACTGGCTCTGATAGTGCTACCTCCAGTTTAATGTGTTGTTTAGAGTTTCTATCAGAGCTTTTGGTTTCTTTCATTTTGACCAAACTGACCATTAGGTCGTCTTTCATGTTTTATGCCCGGCAGTAGAATCGATCTGAATGGATCCGTGCATCACCGGTTTCCACAGTTAAAGGTGTCCTGGAGATTTTTGACCACTATGGCGTCCCTATAGAGTTCAGTGATGAGGACACGTGTGCACGCTAAAAGGCTCTGCTGTGCACAGCCTTCTCCTCTCCGTTGTCTCTGGGCCTGGTTCCCAACATGAACTGGGTTTAGTTAGAGGCAAATGCTCCAGTTGATTAGTTGTTTAGTTTGTTTCATTTCTGGTCCCGTGGGTTGAAGCAGAAGATACTTTGCTTTTTAAAATATTATTTTTGTCCTCCTCACTTTTAAAGTATCAGTTTGATTTGTCCATTAAAGGTCCACAAAACGTAGTGTCCTTCAGTTTTCACTGTAGCTCACAGCATTTAATTTTACAAGCACAAGTGATTTCCCTGAATGTGGGACCGAACAAGCCCCAACTCTTCACGATTTTTGTAATAATAATAATAGTGATTTTTATATATTTAAGAATTAATTCCATTAAAAATGACCACATATAGACAATAGTCTTCAAGGTAAAGATGAAATATTTGATTTAAATAAACATTAAGATTGGAAATGGTCATTTTCTAGAACATAAGGACGATTTTTACCAAAAAGTGTGAAATATATTTTTAACATTGTTATAGAAAACAATATAACTGACTTAATCAACATTTACTAGATTACATACCGATGAGCCTCCCCCTCCCTTGTCCCCCCCCCCCCTGCTATAACCAGATCTCCCCCCACTCCTGTTGTCGCTCAGCTGTCAGTCAGCAGCAGTGAAGAAGACGGGTCCGCTGTGGGCTGATGGTCACCTGGCTCTGCACTAGGAGACATTCTGTTAAACACAATGTGCCTGTGTGTGTGTGTGTGTGTGTGTGCCCATCAGGAAAGTGGATGACAAGAAGCGGTTTTGTATTGCTGATGCTTTGAATGAGTTGAGTTCACCTGTGCCTACGTGAGCAGGAGGGAGCAGAGCCTGGTTTTCTCTTTTTGCTTCATTTCTGTATCTGTTTTATAAGGTTTTGTTAGTAAATGCCATGTTTGTTGCACAGCACTATGCAACGTGTACCACCCTGTACATGGAGGCAGCAGTACCAGTGCTAGTTCAGCATGAAGAGGACTGAAAGCTGCTGCCAACCAAAACGAGGCTTTGCCGTTTCCTGAGGTAGGAAACACAGGCAGCATGTTTGTGAGGCCTTCCTCTGCTGTGGCTGGGTGGAAGGTTTTCAGTGATGATTGTTTACACCACAGGGTGTCAAACACTCAAAGGCAGAAAAACATAGAACAGTAAAAATTCAACAGGCACCAACATCTGTTTTCATGGTGTTTTAATTTCAGAGAGACACAAATGACAAATCTCTGTAATCAGTGCAAATCAAACAGCTGATCTGGCTCGAATTCAAACCTCATTAATTCAGTGAAGTGCAGGGATTTGAATCCAACCTAATATTATTCAGAGCATGAAGGGAAACACGCTGACACACACGCAGCTGTAATCTGTAGACTTCTGTGACTTTTCCTGTAGAAACGCTTTACGCCGAGAACAGACGATCTTTATTACTGTCAGGACAAAAACAGATGTGAATAATTCCTGGGATACCATCTCCACTCCGTCAACATGCACATCATCTCATCTCCTTCCCCGACTGTGCCTCTCATGAATAAAGTGGATTTAAAGGTCAGTTTGGGGTCAATGCTTTCACCTGTGTTTACCTGGAGCACGGTGCCATCTGGGTTCCTTACTAATTGATTAGCCAATTAATAAAGAATGCTAAATTCAATTTCCACTTTTATCTGAGTTTGTTGCATTGGTTTTACATTCTGGCAACACGTGCTGTGACACATTAGCCTCATTATCGTTTCCTGATATAACTCCTCTTCGAGAGGCTGTTTAGCCTCTAATAGCTTCTGTGCTTCTCACTTTCTGCTCCAGGTTTAGAAAATCCTCCTGATGGTTTTATAGCAGAAGGATACTTTGCTTTATGGCTGCTGTTACTGCTGCTCTATAAGTGCACGTGCAGCGTTGCGTGATAAACTCATGGCACGGTCGACGCAGTGATACTGTGGTGGTAGTTTTATATGTTGGTTCTCTCCAAGGGATTTCATAGTTCTGAATTAGCTGTTATTTTGCTGATGATCTCAGACGCTGTGGTTCATCTGAGGACAGGTTTGACCTGGTTCAAAGTCTTTAGGACAGCAGCTTTTTACTTCACAACAAACTCTGGTGTCGAGCTTCTCTGTCCCGAACGCCTCCCTCTAAGCTGAACGATGACAGGTAGGGTGATGTGTCATGGATGGATTATGAGACAATGGGCCCCTGGGCACAGACATGTAAAAGGCCCCGACCTCTCCTACACTTCCAGGAGCAAGACTCAGACTGAGCAACCAACAGGATCTGTGTTCAGTTTGTGTCTTCTTCTGGTTGTTTAGCATCTGTTCTTCTCATTCTGTTGCTCTTTGTAGTCACCAGGCTGACTTTCCAATAGAAAGGTTAACAGTCCCTTCAGAGCTCTCTGGTCTGGGGTCCCCTGACCCCTTGGTCTCCTGGGCCTGTGCCTGGTGGGCCCATCCAGTAATCCAACCACGTGGGTCACTGCACTGAAGTCTGACTTTTGGTCAGAACAAAACTGCATCTGGGTCCAGATATGGGCCAGAGTGTGGGATCTATGTTATGGTCTCATTACACTAGCTTCTGAATGTTGTAGCTCACAAACAGTCTGTTACACATAGCAGTTAGTAGAAACAGCAGAATTCACATTCATCCATTTTACAAATACAGTTGAGACCAGCAACGCAGCAAGTGGGTGGAACTCAGGCGACGGCTTCATTGGGAATTTTGGCGGCTTCGTTTCCCAGGACAACTCCAGGTTTTCCACCTTCTCGCTCAGTTGTGCTCTCATTAACCTTTTCTGGTCCAGGACCAGTTTAGTACCAGTTGGTGCACGAGATCATGAAACACATGTCGTCCACCTTCCTGTTTCCCATCCTGCACTGGGGCAGCTCTCCTGGGGTATCTGTGGAAGAAAGGTATGTTACTGAAATCCACCAATTTGCCTCATCCTGTTCACAGCATGTGCAGTGACGCTGTGGTGTTTAGTCAGTCTCCTGCATAATGACGAGTTAAAGATGAGCTCCACCTTCACAAGGTCACTTGGTGAGGAAATAAGACCTGGTGCCTCATTTTCAAGGTGAGATTCTGGACGGATCTCCTTCCCTTACGAGTATCAGCAGTGGTGGAAGAAGTGATCCTTACGTATGAAAGGTAAAAATACTCCATTACAAGTAAAGGTTCTGCATTCATAATACTACTAAAACAAAAGTACATAAGTATTACCAGCTAAAAGCATCACAGTATCCAAAGTACAAGTCTTTGTTCAACAGGAAATTTACATTATTCTATTAATTAATACTGATGTAGCAGATTTAGTCCTGTGGTTCCCAACCTAGGGGTCGCACCCCTCCAAACAGTCCCAAAATCTGAGGCAACTGAGCTGGTGCACATCAAACGCACAGTAACAACATGCACTGTGGTTAACTGATGGGAGAAGCTCAAACGTGTTGGTAAACTCGGCTGTAACCACGACTCAGAAGAACAAACCTGCCTACAAGAGCCTTGTTTCAACAGAAATACCAGTGTACCGCCTGCCTCCTTATTCTGACAAACCCATGTGGGAGCCCAGCGTTAGATATCGTCACTTTAATAGACCACAATGTGACTATTGCATCACATGCAGCTTTTATTGATGTTTAAATGCTCAGAAATATGTTCCTGTCACTCTTTTGCATTTAAATACAGACGTTAATGTGGTCGACATCATCAGTGATATTCATGCCAGTTGATTTTCTGACAGTCTAGGATATAAAGATATTTAAAAAAGAAAGAAAGGCAAATAGTCGCACTGAAGAGCTGACTGACAAAATGCTTAGTGGGTTCAGCCCCAGACCGGTCACCTTCAGAAGCAGCAGGCCCGGCGCTGTCGGTGTCGGGACACTGTTGTTGACGTTTGTGCGTTTCCTCTGGTGTCTCCTCAGGCCTCGTCTCGTGGCTCGACCCCCCTCCCATCATCAACAAGTCACACCTGGCCAGACACACAGGTACACAAATACATTTTCAGTGTGTTGTAATAGTATTAAATAGGAAATAGTTTGTTCTGAACCATATTGACTGAATTCACTAAAGTAATCGGCTAATGTCAACTCCTGCTGTGCTACCGACCACTTTTAAAAACTTCTTTGTTTGTTTGTTTGAGCCCAGAATTGCTCAAATCTCTTCCAAGAGGATTCAAACTCGTATTACTTCCTGGCATGTCAGTGTCAATCAAATGACTCTCACCAGTGTTTGGTAGATTGTTTACTGTGTATCCAGAAACTATTAAACCCCACCAGTGACCATGGTGTTACACTGGCTGTCACGTGACCCCATCACCATGAACACACTGTAGATATGGGCCTACACCATCCTGCTGCCACAAATACACAACTTTTGTTAACAAGGGTTTGAGGCTAAACATGAGAGTTTATATTGTCAAAACCAAAGACGTGTGTGTTTAAGTTCTGGACACGAGATTGGACAAAACACTTCACAGAAGAGCAGACGGTCGACACAGTCTCGCTGACTTCTATCCCAACGAGACTCTGGATGCATTCAGATGTGTGCAGTGGAAGAAGAGATGGAGCAGAGAGTGAGGCTTGACAGATGGAGAGACTGCAATAAAGAGGAGGCCTGATGCAGACAGAGGGGGATCACAGCCCCGCCTGGTTATCAGCTCGGACATCTCTAATCCTGACCGCACTGATCTGCCCTGACGCCAATCCAATCAAACACGGCACAATCAGTTTAGCGGACGCAGCTGATGGGATCATCTGACTCCGCGTAACACATTACACGATGGCTGCTCGAGCCGTAAAGCTTTCCCGGCGGTCTGTAATGCATGCTGGGAAATAACACGATGAGGAGGGTGGTAGATGACTCTGGGCTGTTTTCACAGGACTGAGGACACAGAGAGAAACGGCTCCGTCCAGCAGGGCGGCGCCTCATGACATCCTTAGTGCTGATTAGTGTGATTAACTTCAGAATGTCAGAAAACAGACACAGATGTCACAAACCTAAACGCACAACACGTTATAAACACAGAGGTTCAGTTTATGATGATGTGACTTTAAACAGATGCAAATCTTCATGTTGGAAAACTTAATTACTTAAAACAAGTCATTATCAAAATTACCATCTGTTCATTTCTGCCTAACTAATCCTGTGCTCGGTCGACTGCTTTGTCAATATACTGTCACAATACAGTAAAAGGTGCTGCTCCAACGTCCCAGACGATGACCTCACACTGCTGTTTCATTCAGAAAGCAAAACGCTCAGTTTATTATCACTGAAGTCAAAAGCAGCACATTCTCAGAGCTGACAGGGGGAAGTCCTCAAACGCTGTCTGTGGTGGGGGTGTGAATGTTTTGGGTATTTTTCAGTTCCTTTGGTTTGATTATTGGTCATTTTATGTTGCATTGTGTTCATTTTGTCTTCTGCTAGATTTGTATGTACGTGTTGTCTTGTGCTCCTCGGTGGTCGATTCCTGTCTGTGCTCTCCAGCAGTAAGAGTGGAACAGGTCAGTGGTATAACCAGTTAATCTCAGCTACGCAGGCTTCATTCATGAACTTAGGGCATCTTAATCAGCATTCAGTGCAGCCGTCTGTGCAGCTGGAGAGAAAATCGGCCTAAAAAAGAGTAGCTCCCCTCTGCTTCTCTCAGATAGTTTGTTTTGACGGGCGCGCCTCCTTCTCGCCGCTGCTGCCCTCTTCACCTCCACCGAAGCTGAATGTGAGGGCACTCAGCCCGACCCCCGTCCCACACATGACCCGCAGTGTGCAGCTGCTCTGTCGGGCTCCTTGTGTAGCTGCTTCAGACACTGGCGGTTCAACTCCAGCTGAGGACGACCCCGCTGACAGCAGACCGAGTTCACGGAGGTTCCGCCTGATGGCGTATTTATCTTTCTGTTCCTCAGTAAATGCAGCACTTTGGCATGAATGGAGTTCACCAGCTAGGATATAATTAAGATAAATAATCTCTCCAGCAGATTAATTGCACCTATCTGCATCATTGATTGGAGTGTGAGTGCGTTTGCCTCAGTGTTTACTCTTCCCATACTTTGTGGAATGAATATCACTAAATCAGGACTGTGTTATCAGCTAATGGACACCAAACTGGGCATCACATAAAGCAGAGCTGCAACAATTAGCTGATGAACAGAGAATTAAAACTTAACTATTTAGATAATTGAATAACTGATTGTTCTTTTTTTAAGCAAAGTGCAAGACATCTGCTGTCTCAGCTTCTTAAATGTGAAGAGTCGATGCTCTGTCAGCTGTGAACTGGACGTCTTTGGCTACTGGACTGTTGGCGGGACAAACAAGACGTTTCAGGATGTCACCCTGGGATTTTTTGACATTTTGTGGACAAAATCACTAATCAAGAAAATAATCAGAAGAATAACTGGTAATGAAAATACTCATCAGCTGCAGCAACAAAGTGAAACATGAAATCTGAAGAAGCAGAAAACCTGCAGTAAATATGCACCTGAGTCAAAGTGGGCCAGGTATGAAGGCAGATGCTACTGGAGCTCAGAGCATGATGGGAAACGCCTGGCTATCACCTGATCCAACAGCTGATTGGTTAAGATGTTGGATCAGGAACATCCATGCTTAGTCAGCTTTTAGTGACATGGTGACGGAGAAGCAGATGATAAAAGTTCTGTAATCTGGATATAAACATTGCTGATTTCATTTTTTATAAGTGACACAAAAGCTTTTGGAAAGCAGAATATGAAGCTTCTTGTAATCACATCTGTGCAGATGTTTCAGCCCTGACAGTGCACATACTATAGGACAACCCAACACAGTCCCAGTGAGGAGCTGGGCCACCACGTGCACCAGAACAGCTCCACCTTGACTCTCCAGGTCTCTGAACTCTCCTGGAGGGATGAACACCTTCCACCAGATGTTCCCTCATGTGGTGTTTTGATGATGATGATGGTGGAGACGCCGTCTAACACGTCGCTCCAACATCTCCCATAGCTGTTCAACTGGGCTGAGACCTGGTGACTGGGAAGGCCACAGCATCTGGTTCACATCATGGTCATCCTCATCAGACCAGTCAGTGACCCCTCGTGTCCTGAGGACAGGGGGTGCTGACATCCTGGAGGAGACCGCTCGCCTCGGTAGAGATAGGCTTCATCACAGGATAAAGCTGATCACTCAGAACAGTTTAGTATTGATCTGCAGTGACCCTTCCTTCTCAGCTATGTGCGAGTGTGTGCATGTGAGAGTAGCGCAGCCCCTCCCTCCTCTAAACAGACACCGACACAGCAAAAATTCCAGTGGAAAAGCAAAGCAAGGCGGTCTGCGTCAACCTGTGAGGTTTTGCTGGATGACGGTTAAGGGAGGCACAGGGTGTACTGCTGGTTAGGGTCCCACAGTGGAAACACAGCTTAAGGGGGCGAGTGGACCCAAAGCAGGCCAGGGAAGTGCCCCAACCCCCCCCAACGCAGGGACCAAGCTTTCAGGTTCATCCTTTCATTTGTCACCCGTCTGTATCTAAAAGATCGACTATTGAAGACTTGTGTCTCTGTGTCTGTCCCCACTCTCTTCTGGTTACTGACTATTTTGAGTTTATGCAGCATCATATCCAGCCAGGACTGGTCTACAGCAAACTGGGGACTGAGCCATAAACATCACCGTTGGCATTTTATCAGCCCCCCTGCCATATAGAAGAACTACAAGCTGACTGGCTGTGGTGGGGAGTAACTAAGTACAGTTACTCAAAATATTGCACTTTATACTCCACTACACTTCCTAACTTTAGTTGCTTTTCAGAATCCGATTTAAAAAGAGATAGAGTAGGTTAGAATCACAAGACGTTACTGATCTGCAGTAGCTCCAATGACTGACCACCAGCTCCAGCATTGTGATGAATACAACAATGCATCAGTCATTATGAGTACTCTACTTTCAGTAGGGTCAGGATGCTCTGATGTTAGTACTTTTACTTATAACACAGTACTTTCACACCCTTGTATTACTACTTTTACTCGAGTAAAGGACGTGAGCAGGCCCGCCTCTTCCACCATGGCTCTGGTGACCTTCTGAGCTAACGGACGTGTGTTTCTGTGACCTCCTGCACAGGGTCAAGGCCGTGGAAAGCTCACAGTCTGTCCCGGCACCCTGCCGCCTGCTCTGCTCCGGTCCGCGTCAGACGAGCCCGGGACGGGACATGTTTACAGCCCCGCCTACTGAGAGAGACAGAGGGGACAAGAGCTGGAAACACAGGTGCGCGTGTGTGTGCGTGTGCTTGGGAAGATAAATTAATGTTAACCTAACTGACCCCACGGAACCCACGACAACCGCTCGTCTCTGTTGGCCTCCGCTCCCGACCAGCCCGCGGTGTTTCCAGGCAGAGTTTCTCCGGAGCGACGTGAGGGTGAACGGTGCACTACACAGATCGTTTATGTAAGAGGAGGGCTCACTCCTACAGTTCCTCTTCTTCTTCTTCTGTGGTTGTTAGCGGCTGCTTTTGTTGCATTACTGCCACCTTTCGACGCATTTCGTTATAGAGCTGCATTTATATCCTCAGCTCTATATACTGTATATTGTAATGTAAGTAGGATTGAAGAAGAATACAGATACCAAAAGTGCCTTTTATGCGAGCTTCCGTGCGTCTTACACCGCACGACCCCAGATAGCTGCTTTTTTTAACAGACACACAACTATTTACATACATGCCAAAGGCCATAAATCCACCAGAAATGTTGGTCATGGTGCTCTGCCCCGGCTAACTGGCCCCAACCCCGTAACAGAACATGAACAGAACTCATATCCTCTGCCTGCATTCTGGGAAATCCCACCAAGTGCTGCTCCACCTGAAGCTACAGGATCTTTTTAACTAAACACTTAGCCCTTAGCCTTAGCATATGACATTCTTTAATGTTAAATGTACCATTCTGCAACAATGAGTACTTTTCATGTTAGTAGTTTGTATTTTGATGCTAAGACTTTATATTTTTACTTAAGTAATATTTTGAACACTAAATATTTTTACACTGTGATATTTATACTTCTACCTACATGATGTGCATACATCATGTAAATATCACTTCAGTGCCACTGGGCAAACCCTCAGATAATTATACTGAACATTTTAATTCTCAGTTGCTATTTATCAAGTGATATTTAGCAGTAAACTCAAGGCTGAGGCTCATGGAAGCAAGA